AAGATAAGGCTTGGCGAGTTCGTGCTTTGTTGAAACTGTTTCAAAAGAATATTCTGAAGTTTGGCTTTTGGAAATCAGCTTTATCAGTGGATGAAATGATGGCTAAATCGTATGCTAGAACGTGTTTGAAACAGTTTATACGAGGAAAACCTACACGATTCGGTCTTAAATTTTGGGTTTTGTGCGCTGCTAATGGATACTTATTCAATATAGATTTATACTGTGGAAAGAACTCTGTAATAGGAGATAAGTTATCTAAATGCGCTTTAGGATCTCGCGTGGTTTTACATTTATTGAAGCCTTTTTTCGCATTGACTTCTGATGCAAAAATTCCTCTTTATCATCTTTATTTTGACAACTACTTTACAAATTTAGATCTTGTTGTGCATTTAAACCGATTAAAATTGAAATGTACTGGAACTGTTAGAGACAATCGTGTCCTAGTAAAAAATGTCATTCATAAAAAGGCTCCACGTGGAACATATGCAGTAAAGCATGAAAACAACTCTGGAATAAATTACATCACGGTTATGGATTCAAAGCTAGTATTAATACTATCTACAGCTGCAGGGGTCACTCCATTATCATCAGCAAAGAGATACAGTTCGATCGAAAAAGAAAAAGTCGATATACCAGTTCCGCAAGCTTTTCACCTTTATAATCAGTCCATGGGTGGAGTTGATGTACACGACGGTCACTGTAACAATTTGTTGCCAAGTATTCGTTTAAAGAAGTGGACGTGGGTGGTTTTCATTACACTTATCCAAGCAGCAATTACAAATGCAGTTTAATATTCAATGCAGCTGATGATAGTAAAAAAAAAGTTGGAACTAAAGAATTTGCAATGTCAATAGCGAAAAGTTCCATTCATGATGCTGAAAAAAATAAGGAAAAGCATACAACAATTCGAAAAAAGAAACAGAACAAGGGTTCCATTTGTCCAAAAAGAACATATGTGTACTGTGAGAAGTGCAATTTGTTTTTTTGCAGTGCATGCATGAAAGCAAAGCATGTCTGATTACAGTGAGAGGCCAGGGAATTCACTATAAAAAAGCACCTCGTAGAGTGAGAGGCGAGGGGACTCACTATAAAAAAGCACCCCGAGGAGTGAGAAGCAAGGGGACTCACTATAAACAAACACCCCATAGAGTGAGAGGCAAGGGGACTCACTATAAACAAGCACCTCGAAGGATACATGATTTTACTGCGTCCACACTGTTGTCTCTGGGTTACGCTAAGAGTAAAATATAAATATAAACTGAAAGTAGTCACACTTTAGAGATACTTACACAATACTTTATTTAGAACCTCTTGATAAATTAAACTTCGGTACGTTTATACCCCAACTGATCTTATGAAATTCCGAAAGTTGAAACGGTTGAATAGAATTTCCACAATTGTTTGAGAATTATTTTCTCGAATACTATAGGCTTTCAGAAAAAATTTATAAGATCAAAAATGTCTTAGAATTAGTCAAAGAATACTCTCTAATTTTTCCAGCATTTTTCGGAATATTTTGAAATTTTCAATTCTGTAATTTTTTGAAAAATTAAAAAAAATTTTCAAAAAATTTCAAAAAATTTTAGAGTGTTCCTTGACAAATTATAAGACATTTTTGTTATATAAAGCTTTTTCCTTAACCTCATAAATTTTGAGAAAAAAATAGTAACCTAAAACGCATTTTTTTTCCAGATTTTGGCATTTCTTCCGCCGTTTTAAAAAAAAAACTTTGAATATAAAAATTTTCTGTTAAAGTTCAACAATTTTGTGCACTCATGGTTGAAGAAATATTTCGATATTGACATATGTTATGGTAGAAAAAAAATTCCAAAAAATTTTTTTTTCGGAATTTCCCTATTTTTTTATAAAAAATCGGCCATATTTAATTATGTAAGCAAAATTTTTGAATTTTGAGCCCGGATTTAGATTCAGCACACCCAAAAACATAAGGTATGGTACCCTGGATCAATTTATTGTTTCGTTTTACAAATGAATTTTGCGATCAAAAATATGTCCAAAAACTGACCTCTTTGGTCGTTAATGGGTTAAAAACTTGAGATTTAGCAGAGGTTGAAAGATAGATGGCTGAAAAAAGTTTAAAAATGACCATTTGTCAACCTTTGAAACAGTCCTGAGAGCTAATATTTAAAGACGATTTTTGCTAATATTTAAAGACCTATAGAATTATTGAATCTTATTATATTTTATCTTTGAACTACGACGTTGGATAGTTGCCAAAAGAGGAAGAAAATGCGATGCTAAATTTAAAATTACTTCTGAATCCAATCTTTATTGTTAATTATTTTTCGTGTATATAGTAATATAAAAATCTATAAGAAAAAATTATTTGTAATCAATGATAAACATGAAATAAAACGAGGTAGCTAGAAAATATGTGTAAGATCTCAGTATGTGACAAGAAATGAATTCCATTGTCAAAAATTTTCTATGCCCGTATGCAAAAAGACATACAGAAGAAGATATAGGCAATCCTGTATAAAAACTTAAACATGCTACAGGATCAATAGGATTCGGTGTTGACCTTGACTAGTAACTTGCTATTATTTATTGCAATTTTTCACTAAGCAATTTAAATCTGACGAAAATGTGTTATGTACATTTTTTTAATATTTTTTCCGGTAGAATCGATTTCCGTAATGAGTTTTGGAAAATAATGACTATTTAGGTAATCTGTTTAATAATTTTTTATGAATAATTGCAAATGGCAAAAGAAAAAACACGGATATTTTTTGGATATGCTATGAATAGCATAGTTAATTTGGTACTATCTTACCTAATTTCAGCATGAGCCTTAATGGATTAATATTCCTAGTTATTAAGAGAAACTGGTATTCTTAGTTATTAAGAAAAAATGGAGATAATAATGTCATATTTTTTTTAAATTGCAAGAGTTTTCAGACAGCATTATATTCTTTATGAGTTTAATATATTTTAATGACATTATTTAATAAATTTAATGACAAATTTTATAAGTAAATTCTTTGTGCTTCGATGGTTGATTGTACTTATCCATGGTTTAAAGAGTTAGTCTTGAATATCTTGAAACACATTATCACAATGTCGTAAAAAGCAAGGAGACAATTAGTTGTGCGCATTATTGAACATACACAGTGTGTGAAAAATAGAGATACAACGTCAACTTGAGTCGAACCAGCTATTTTAATATACCGGGTGTTCCAGACCATCCGTACAGCCATTTTTAAATCGAAAATTCGTGTTTTTGTGAAAAATGTTTTAGATGAAAGTTGTTTACGACAAAGGGGGCCATCTATCTGTATAATTAGTTTTGACCTTGAACGTCGTTTTCACGGTCATTTGAAGGTCGAATTGTTTTTTTAAATGGGAACCCCTATTTTTGACATCGGATTGGAAAAGAGCGGGAAATTTTACGTCCACAAAGATATTTAAAAATTTTTTTTCATGGCTTTGAGAAGGTCGATTTAAGGTCAAATGCTTGAAAAACTGCCTAAAAGCGTTTTTTTAATTTTTAAGATATCGAAAAATGACCTCTACAAAATTTGTTCAGAACAGAGTGGGCCACCCAATGCACCAAAAACCTTTGACCTTAAACCTCATTTTGAAGGTCATTTCAAGGTCGAAGTGTTTTTTGTAATGGAAACCCCTCTTTTTGACCTCTCGGATTCGTACATAGCGCGAAATCCGACGTTTGGATAAGGTATTATGTTGAGTTTCGATTGATCCACGACGTTCATCGCTAAGGTCATGTGAAATTTAGATCCAATATTATTCATGAAACATTACAAAATGTTTTTTACTTCCAAGATCATTTCAAGGTTGCAAACGTAGTACACAAATTTTAGCACTACATCTAGCTAGGAATCAGATTAAACATTGTCGTTTAAATTTTTCATTAATGGTTACTTTTCTGTTATTCTTGTTTATGTTGACAAAAAAGGTAACGTCATTGTAATTCAATAAAAAGAAAATAAATGTTTAATCACTAAAATTTGTGTACTACTTTTTGCAACCTTATAAGTTGTTTTTCAGAATAATTTAAAATTTCTATCTTTTAAAAAGTGTATGGAGTAAATTATGTTTTTTTTATTGAGAGATAATGATTTTTAATTTGTAATTTTAATTTTTTTAATTTGAATGACTAAATGCAATTAATATTTTTTTTATCGATAACAAAATTAATATAACACTTATAATACGTGCTAAAGGACGGTATTTTCTTTTTAGTTGATCGTCTCTTTCAGACCGTTTATCAGTATTGTGGCTTGTTGTTCAAGTAAATTCTCTATGCGGTATATTTAATTACAAATTTGTATAAAACAGTTGTAAAAATTGCAATTTTCATTGCAAAGATCTCTTCTCTCTATTCTCTCTCCGGTTTAATCTCTTGTCCCTGTACTTAGAGAGTCAGTATAGCGCACTCTTACTCTCTACTCCTTCGTCCACTCCTTCCAAATCATTTTAATTTACAATTTTTTCATATTATAAGTCCTGGAGTATTCTAGAACAAACTAAAAGTAGTATATAAGTTGAGTAGTTTTGGTTATATATGATATTGAAAAATGATAACGTAACTTGTTATTATGCTAAACCATGTATGAGGTCAGTCAAATTGTATCAATATTATATTATTTATTGTACGATTAAAGTATGAACTATAGTATTATATGTTTATTCTTAACTGTAACCAATAAAAAGGGAAGAGAAGGGGTCTAGTAATAACGGGGGTGAAGCGGAACAATTTTCAAGATAACCTAAAAAAGGAGATGAACAGAATGGGTCCACTTTCTTATGACTATGTAATATAGTTAGATATATATTCTATAAGAATATACATATATTGAATTTATATTTATAATAAAACAACTATAACATATTCTATAATAAATCCGATTGTACTAAATAGATAGCAATTTTAATATAAAAGAATGAATAACATAAATATAAAGAAAAGTTTTGATCATATAATACGTGTATTGAAGAACATTTATTTCTTATTTTAGGTCAGCCTAATATTCATCCAGGGTTAATTTCAAGTACTGGCCGAACAAGAGTAGCAGTTTCAGCTACAAGCACGCAAGCAGCTCAATTGATTGGTGGAGGAATAACTCCCAATATGTTCACATCGTCTGCAGCACGTTTTATTTAATATCTATATTCGATTTTAATAATTTATTATCATATACTGAAGTTGAATCATTTTTGTACCTGGCAATATGTTATACCAATGAATATAATTTTAAATTTAGCAACATTTATAAAGTTAATCATCTTTATTTATCGTAATATTTAACATAAATATACGTACAATTAATACAATTTTCATTAGTTCCTTTTTTACTAATATCATGTTTTACTTTATTAATATTATTTCTTAACTTATCTACATGCAACATTTTATCTGAAAGGTACTGCACTGCTTATGACAACATAATGTTATATACAGTTTTCAGTTTGTTTTGCAGCTTCCATTTATTTTTAGAATGTATAACGGGGTGTTTATCCTACAAAATGAGAAATTTATTAACGCACAAACTTCCACGATGCAGAGCTAACCGCCGCTTCGTTAAACACGTATAGTTATACGTGTATTCGCCTTAATGTTTGTTACTTTCGTTTAAGTGTCTTCTTTCCAATCGAGTTGAACTCACCTTAAGTTACCTGACTTGTGACACTCGATCTATCTTAAGTGTGAGTGACCTAATGCTTAATCCGACTAGTCCCCTAAGCGAAATTGGATTAGAACTTAATCCTTTATAGATTTATTAAGCTATTAGGAAAACGAAATGACGTAACACTGCGAATAAAATTAATGATGTTTAATTAATAAAAACTGCAGTCTTTTATAAGCCGAAAGACTAACGCACGCGAAATAGGATTTACAATTATTGTTAATAATTCTGTGAGAGAAAGAGACAGAAAGAGAGAGAGAGAATTCGAAAATTGCCGCGAAATCTAACGCTCGACGCGAATACAAAAAATTACACTCGCGATAGACAAAATACTGTCGGAAGTATTTTGTCGCGCAATTATAGGGAGGTACACCTAGCCTACGGTACAATTACGGTGATCAGCCGTAATTGTAGAAGAAAATCAACGGTGCTCCTTGAATCAATCAGCTGTGCTGCCTCGATTACAAATATCTACTGCTTTTGTTGCTGCTGCCTTAAATGCTGCTGCTGTGATGCTGCTTGCTATCACTCGCGCACTCTCCAAATTATTCAGGAAACTTTATAGCAAATAACGGCAAAATACTATGCAAAAGTATAGGCGGTACTTTCTCAAAAGCAGCTATGGCTTAACTGTCTATTTTTAAACCCTCGCGCGACCTCTCTCTCTCTTAGTCGTTCGAACTAACATCGCGAGTAGATGAATCGCGAACGGGTCGATTAATCGAATCGACTACCGTTGCAAATGACAAATGTGTTTCTTTATTGACATTTTTCTTAATTACAAAAAGTATTATAACATTCTTAGTTTTTTTTAAACAATCAAATTTCAAGTTTCAGATTGCAGAGAAAATACAGAATAAAATAATAACCAATATAAATATTAACGTTGATTTAAAGAAGAAAGTTGTATTATTACTATCGTCACATGGAATTGAAAGAATTCTTACAATTAGAAATTAATTTGAAGTATTATGAATAGTAACTTTTACATTAATATTCTGCAAATAAATTTTTGCCCCAAAAAGATTGGATAATTGCAACATTTTTACAATTCTCTATCTCACAATGCGTTGAACAGGCATGTCCAAAGCTAAAACTAATATGGTCTTCGAAATTACCGGGTCGATTTACAAAATATCTACCTTTACGACACGAATAGATTTTCATATCATTAATTATGAACCAAAGATTCTAATTTAATTAAATTGAATATATTATTATATTATTTCTCAAATGTAAATTTTTTCCATGTATGAATCCTATAGACATCTAATGACTGAATGTTTCAAGTCAATCCTGTAGATATCATTTTGAAATATACTGTTTTATCACATAGCATAACTTCTCTTACGGAAGGTGAACAATGATACTCCACAAATCAATGAATAGCATACTTATAGGTCCAATGTGAGAAAAATATACTTCTTTTAACCATGTTATAAACAGTTCTGTAAATTTTTATTTTATTTAAATATATCTTGCAAAATAATAAGTTTTCAAGATTTCGAGGATATAACATACGAGGTGTGATCAAAAAGTAAGGTGAATTTTGAAATTTAGCGGGCTACGTCCGTTCGATCTTCGATTTTTTAATTTGGTTATGTCGGTACGCTCGTCTAGAACATATGTTCCAAATTTCAGCTTTGTAGTATGTTTGGTTTGTTTGTGAGAGGCATCAAGGTTAGAAGTGTTTTGCGTGCTCCACGATTTGCTGCTGTCTAAAAACATGGATCAAAGAGTTTGCATTAAATTTTGTGTGAAAAATGGAATCAAATGTTCCAAAACACTTGAAATGCTGAAAGTGGCATACGGTGAGTCTACTTTAAGCCAAAAAAATGTTTACAAGTGTGTAACGGGGTATAACCGTTTAATTATTATGTCGCGTGATTGCACTAAGGGGACACGCGCGAATCGTTAATGCTCACTACTATTACGGGAGAGCACGAGAAAGCATACGCCAGTCAACCGATAATCGTTTATAACCTAAACTAAATTGAGTGGAAGCTATGTGAGATGAGAGAATCAATGAAAACACTTGTTAGTAAGGTAAATCGGATCTTTTATTATCCCTCAAAATTCACAAAAGGTCGGCCCGCGCGTTTGTTTACATGCACGCTCGCTCGTCGACAACACGCTTTGCCGGGACGCTCACTGCTCTTTGTTATTAGAGCCGCTACATGCACGCCTCGAGAGTTAGTATCAAGTTATTATTTTATGCTCGCGATCGCGAAATGAAGCTGGCCAGCTTACCTTATAATTGCGGGCGATCGGAGACAATCACAGCAAATCGCACAACACGGAACAGTCGCTTATTGTTTTGTTCGCGGGACGCGAAAGCGCGCACACACTGGTTTCGCCCTCGATGGCGAAACCTCACACACTCTCTCTCTCTCTCGATCTGGCCTCTGGCTCGTAGCTGGGTAGCTCCTTGGCGGCTGCAATCCGGGGTCACCAATTACTGCTGTTTTGAAGCGGGTGGATGTCAAGGGCACGTGAATTATCGATAGCGGTAACGAAAGCGGGCGGACGCTAAGATGATCTAGGCTTCACTAGTTCGAATTCTATCGCGCGCGTTCCGTCTGCTCGCGTGCCGAATTCCTTCGTTACCTATTTCGTCCCCCCGGGAGGTGCTGCCCTCACAGACAGCAATTAAGTTAAATAATCAGCGCTAATTTGACGTTTACCGTCACAGCCCCCTTCCAGTCTGGACCTATAGGGTCCTCGACGATAATTCCATTAGCGCTGTCCCTTCCGAGGAGGAAAAGAGAGAGGATAATAAAGGATTATAGTCCACGTGATGTTTACTTCCATCTTTATTCGCCGGGTAGTATAACGGTTGCCCTGCCCACGAGGGCAGGGGAAGATCACCTGGCTGGTCTCCCGGGTAATTCTGCGCCCTGGTCATCCAATGGATGATGTCGGGGCCTTCAGCGGGATAGATCCCGCTGGGGGTCCGGGTAGCGGCGTGGTATCGCCGTGCGTGATACCGGGAATCGTGAGCTCGCACCCGTGCTTGCTCCACCTCTTCTCTTCGGGCACTTATAAGGTGCAAGGCGGCATGTACCACCCCTTCAATGGCGGGACCCATATCCAGGTCGATGAGGGCGGCTGCCGCTTGCTCGAATTGTTCGAGCTTAATCTGCATCCTGTAATTATCCAGCAAGTTAGTATCCTGAATAGTTTTGGATATCGAAGGTGGGCGCCTGTTCGGCTGCCCAGGGCCTTCGTCGCCGGAGTCGAAGGTGGGGTCCTTGGCGTCGGTCTCCCAGGTCCTTCGTTCGCTGTGTTTCATGCGTTCACGGTTGGTGTTCTCGGTGGCCTGCCCCTCTTCCTTTTCCCGACGATGGAAGGAGGGGCTCGAGTAGTCTGTTGATGTTGCGTACTGTATGTAGTTAGCGCACACTCACGAGGTTTCCCTCGCGGGCGCTTCATCGTGTTAGTAGAAGAAGTATCTATTGGGACTCGGCTGGTGGGATTACGACGAGTACGGCGAGATGATTTCGGAGTTGTCGCGTCGTCATTTCGGAGTGTATTATCTGAAGTGTCGGCGCTCCCGTTTCCGTGTATCGATGTATCGCTCGCGTTGGGCGGGACGCTTATCGCCTCGGTTCCCTCGGCGGTAGCGGTCTCGTCGTCGTTTTCGGGTCTCGTGTTCGGGTCCCATTTTCCGGTATATCGTCATCTCGTCCATAATAGGGTTTAAGGTCCTTCGCATGGATTAGCTCCGTGACCTCCTCCTGTTGGTTGGCGAGGCGATATGAGTTGGGACCGAGTACCTTCGTGACGATAAAGGGGCCGATGAATTTGGGTGCTAGTTTCGCGGAGATGCCCTGCGCCGCGCAGGACAGTATGCGATTCTTTTTCCACACCCAATCACCTTCCTTGAACCTGTGGGCCCTGTGTTTAGTATTGTAGTACTTAAACTGCCTCAGGGACTCATCCGAGGCGCTCTCGTGAGCTTGCTGAATGGCGGAGCGGCTATTCTGCATGTGCTCGTTCCATTGCCCGATTCGAAGCAAACTCTCTTCTTGCTCAGCGAGCTCGTCCATCCGTTTCCGGAGAGTATTCGGGGCTCCCGGTTGTCTGCCGTAATTGAGCATGGCCGGACTAACCCCGGTGGAACTATGGACGGCCGTGTTCAACGCGAACATGAGTTCGGGTAGCGCTCGGTCCCATTCCCTATGATTTCCCCGCAGATACGACGTTATCATCGTTTTCAAGGTGCGGTTAACCCTTTCCGTAGGGTTAGCCTGCGGGGTATAGGTCGGGGTGAAGGTCCGTTTTATCCCCTGATCTCTCAGGTACCCATCCACCAACTGATTACGGAACTCGGTGCCGTTGTCGGACAAGAAGATCTTCGGTGTGCCGAAACGTAGGATTATTCGTTCCCTAAGTTCCTTCACGATCGTCTTGCCGTTAGCACTACGTATAGGTATACATTCGATCCATCGTGTGAATACGTCGATGAATACCAGGACGTATTCGTGCCCTCGTGGGCTCTTCGGAAAGGGTCCGGCGATATCGCCCGCGACCACTTGCCAAGGCATAGACCATGTTCGGTCCTGCATGAGC